TTCATTGCGGCTTGTCTCTCTTCACGCCTTATTTACATCATCAGGTTTGGTTGTGACTCCTCCGCGTAACTTTAACATTTATTACTGTTATGTTACAGATCAATTCTATTCTTGCCTAGCAATGCGTTAAGCTTGAGTTCCTGGGTTTGTCCGAATGTTATATCATCTCATTTATCGCGGATACTAATATGCTATGCGAATGGAAATAGGATCTATATCTATAATTTAACGATCTGAGTTCGTCATAGGCTTGAAAAGAATCACATCGTCAAGGAATCCAAGAATATTTTTTTACAATACTATTGTTGCCGGTAGTAATATTCGTTCCGCTCTTAGGAAAATGGTGAGAATCCAACAATTATCGGAAGTGCTTGACTCATTGTGCGCTCCCCGCGCGTATCTGTTGGTGCTTTGTTGTTTCCTATTATCTTCGATCTGTTATTATTGTAATCTGCGCCCGCGTACAGACGTCAGTGTGTTGTAATTGGCTTTGATGCGGTTTGTAATGTTTCCTTTTAGAATATGACGGTGGTAAACGTAGCGTCTATGAATCCTGACTGCGACATGATGTAAGCTGTTCTGTTGACGTAAATATAATAGAAAAAATTGAGTTAATTAGGGTCGGAAGTCAAATGAAGAGCAAATACTAGTGCATAGTGTTAAATTATGTCTATCGTTTACGAGTATAGTGTTAATGTAGTAAAACAATTTAACGGATTTAAACACCATGTTATTTTCACGCATATTTTGTTTGTTTTAAGTTAATATTATGTACATATGTTAATATACGTTCTTTCTCTTTTTTAATCCTTTTGCATACGATTATAATGAGGGTAGTTTAAAGTTCGATTTAGTTATAATGGCAAAACATATAATTTTGTCATATCTTTTCTTAGTCGATTTATATGTCGATTCAAACAAAGAAAATTGTATGTAATGTCTACAATACGATCAGCCGGCGAGTTAATCGATTTCCGCGATAGAACTCGATTTCATCGACACTTCGCCAATTCAGTGAGAGTAATTGAATTTTATAGTCTGTGGTTGTTCACCGGATTTAAAATATCTTTATAGAAACGAATGAATTGTAAATGGTTGAAGTAAAGTATGTTGTTAAGTTTTGACGAATATTATGAAAATAATACATTTCGACTAAAAATCTGAAAGTTAAAATTCAGTAAACTGCATATTTAGTAACTATTTACAAATACTTTGTTTTCCTTTGTGTTAAACACTTCAATATTTATTAAAGATTATCAGCAGGCACATAACTGCGACGTAGCCGGCTTATAATTGAAAACGCCATAGCAAACGAAATGAGCGCAGCAGGAAAATCCATTATAACGTTATGAGCTATTGATAAAATCGCTGTAATTTGTCAACGGCGTGCCTACAGCGTGTTGTGGACGATGACGCCACAATACGTCCCCTGCGAGGGCCACCAATTTGCGGCAATTTCATATAACTGACACATCCGAAATCTGTTTGTGCCAAGAGGCCGGGATGATCCCCAGTGACGTTGGAATGCTGGGAAGTTGGTACATATATGGGTTGTATGTACATATATATAGAATGTATGGAGCAGTGCTCACAAATCTTGCGAAGGTCGGAAATACTTGGCTATAGTTTTTTTTTTGTGATTAGGACCGTCAAACCTAATTTCTATAGTATGATACTTACAGGCAAATGCATATTGCCCATACATTATCTACCTACATAATAAATAAAGAAATTGGCCAATTATTAATATATTATTTCGCACGACATGCTGTTGGATAGGCCGGATAGACGGTTTCTTTACCGGTTCAATAGAATAAAATGATAATGTAAAAAAGTGAAATAAAATAAATATTGTCTTTGACGCGGAGACAGTCTCCCCGTGACCACGGTTGCTGCAAAGCTTCCGAAACGTCGGGCCAAAGTTAAAAATCATTTTCAAATAAGTTTATATCGCGTTTTAAAACCGTTAAAATGTTTTATTTAAATAAATGAAATAAAAAAATCTGCAGTGCAAGGACGAGAGGTAACGTGGCGATTTAATAAAATTGACGTTTCATTGTTGATTTCAATTTATAATGATAATATTTTTATATTAATATCGTTAGAAACAATTGATAATGTACAAAATAAACGTTAAAAAAAAAGAACTACATTATTGAAATCAAAACATTTATTCCACAAAAATACAATAAAATAAATATCAACCTAGGTGTAAATATGTGGAGGGACGATTTTCAGCGATGCCCCACGTTTAACATTTGCAGTAGAACAGTACATATAAACTAAATATAACATTAAAATAATAAAGATCCAAGAAATCTAAATCTAATTAGCAATATAAACTGGAAATTCTTATCGCTGCCTTTTCCTCAATTCCTTCAACAATAATAGACGTTCATGTGCATTTTAAGAGCAGAGAGAGTGATTCTCGCGTATAAATATCACTCGCTACGCCGAACGATTGACGCATTCAAGTGAATCAAAGCAATTTTGTAATACTATGTAAACCCCGGATATGTCTAGAGTAAGCACTGCGATCTTATGCCAATTGTTTGTATGACGTTACACAGTTTGATTGACGGGTTCTCTCGGAGCTAATTGGTTTACGCAAGCTACAACATGGTGTTTAATAATACTACGATATAACGTGCGTTTATGTTGCGGCTCAATCTGAAAACTGGTTGGTTTCAAACGTGGCCGTCTTGTGTATACTAGCTGTGCCCACGACTTCGTCCGCGTGGAATAGTGACTTGTGATAGAATTTTTAATTATTTAGGCTGTTTATTAATTTATGTAAGGGCGCATTTAGGGCAGCCAATCTATGTTGTATTTTTTTTTTGAACGTGTGGAAATCCTTTCGGATACCCACCGCATCAGAAGGAGCAAATGGGTAAAATAAATATATATATAAATGGGTAGGTAGTTTATAATTATCTATGTTGTATGTGCTAATGTGCCGCAACACTCACCTCACATAACTCCTACACTCACTCTCAATTCCACTTCTATTCCCAAAAACCAAAGATGTGCTTCATAATTTTCATTAATAGTGTTCTTAAAGACATTTCTTTCATACACAAGCATATTATATACCTAGTGTCCTAGTAATAAATAACCATATTACCATTGGATTGTGATAAATTGCAAAAATGTGATTAATGGTACGTACGACGTATGGTACACGGACCCTCCGTGTTCGAGCTGGTAGTACCATTCTTTACCGCCACCATGCTTTCTAGGCACCCGCCAGTCCTAGTTTGAAAGTAGGTAATCCTTGGCGGTATGTATATCTATCGTCAGCCGCCGGTCAAAAGGTTGCGTTACAAATAGCCGAGTTATTTATGCCGGGTACTCACTAACGAGTTTAACATATATACTTGGTACCATACCAGTTACTGCTTCTTTTTATAGCCCTTCCTTTTGCAAGATGGAAACTCATTTATAATTTTTCTCGGATTCCTTCCTGGGTCCTCTTGTATCTGAGATCAGCTTATCTAATTTGATACAATACTTTTGACGGGGTAGTAGTAGGTAGTTTCTCGGAATTGTCGGGTCGTTGTACTTCGCGGAAATATTTCACTTGCTCTGTACCACTCGCGTGAATTACACTTACCTTGGATTTTTATGTTAGAGGAGGATAGCTAATCACGAGGTTCATTAGATGAAAGGTGAAATACCGCAGCCATATCTAAACGAGACATCCTGTCGGCTTATTTTGGCTTTGAATATATACATACATACGATTATTTAAGTTTCACGTATACTCGTACAAAAGTGACAAATTCATATGGTAAATTAGTTAATAGATTTTATATTCGTTATCTGTGCAATGATTACGCTTGCGGCTCGCTAGTGAGTAGCCGGCCTTTCGAATTAAATTTACGCACAACACATAATTAACATAAAGCGGTTTTTATAAGCGAGTGATTCAGTCGGGTACTACTTAGGAAATTAGCACGCTATTTTTAGATCGTTCGTGGTCAGCTACCGCTATTGTGTTTTTTCAATGAAATTGTTTCGGTATTAATTGTTTGAATTGTTGTTATATGGACTTTGTTTTTAATATATTCTAATTTCCGTGTGGCGATAACCTTTTTCTTTTGACTAACGTAAATCAGCAGTACTACCTAGCAGTACCTACTTAAAACAATTTATTGTTGAATTTACTACAAAATGTTAATTTTTTTTAATTAGCGTCTGTATATGTATTCGCTAGTAGTTACGTTAAAATAAAGCACTTAACGATTTTAAATGTATATCTATACTAATATATGTATAAAGCTGAAGAGTTTGTTTGTTTGTTTGAACGCGCTAATCTCGGGACCTATGGGTTCGAATTGAAAAATTCTTTTTGTGTTGGTTTTTATCAAGTAATGCTATAACATCGCGTTGTGAGTAATAAAAGCGAAGATACTGCGGGAAATGTGAACAAAACAGGGGAAATTGTTCATCCCTGTGGGTTTCAGGTGCGTATGCTGCGAAAACAGTTCAAATTACCTAAAAAAATTGTATGAAATAATGATTCCTCTTAAAATGATCTAAAAAAAAGTCCGCGACGCTATATATACATCTGTTTTAAGATTAACTTGCAAAAACGACGGGAAGGATCGCGATCGACATCGTGGCTAACAGCTTAAGTTTATAAAGATGACTGGGTTTGCAAAAACTAATTTGGATGCCCAAAATAAAGATTCTAGCTGGCACAGCTAGTTATAAATAAGTAACGAGCTCATCCTATGTACATTTACAATTATACATATAATTTACATGCGAAAGGATTGATTCGATTAATATTTAAGATATTCCTTCCACTTTTTATCTTTTTACGTGAAATATTCATGTAGTTTCTGAAGGGTGCGAAATGACGAAATAATTAAAATGCTTAATAAGATATAAACGTAGTCTGTTTTGAAGTGGAACGAAGGTTTCAATATACAAAATTGACGCTTATCAGTGAATGACATATACAACGGTGCGACCTTTTAAATTTGGGTCGTGACTCACGAGACCTTGACTGCACAGTAATTCTTTGTTCCGAAGAGTCGTTCGCCAGCACGGCCGATACGATTCGATATCCTGAGTTTCACCATGTCTCGCTGCTTTCTCCTGGCCCCGGCTGGCGACAGTGCGGCTGCGGTCACTAACTCATTACGCTGCTCGTCGCTCCACTTACACGGATTGCTGATCGCTTTGAACTTTATTGTTTTATGCTTAGTAATACGTGATAAGTTTGGTATTTCATTCAGCATAACACTTTTACCACTATTTAAAAGATGAGAAGAGGTGTGTCACATATATAAAAAGAAAAATTATGTTCAGGACAGACACAAGGATTCTGCACCTTATAGTTCTTATCTATATCGTGATCTCGCTTAGAAGAATCATATGTAGGTATTATAAAGAGTACAGTATAAACTTTACTATTGTTGACTTACTTTATATTAAAGAGAGCCATTGTAAGCGATAAGACCGCCCACAGCATGAGTCTCGTTTCTATTATTATTTAAATCTGAGGTGCAAGAAAATAACACTATTGTAATACACACAGAATAATAAGTAATGTATGTGGATAGAGTAATCTCACATGTTCCAAGATCCAAGCCTATTAAGTTGCTGACGAGTAGAAATCTACTCCGTTTTATGGCAACCGATTGGATGCAGTTAGGGCGTAATGTGGTGTAATCAGCAATTTGCACGGCAAATCAGCGCTTTCTATGACTCGAGTACCACGGCCCACTGCTACTGAACTTTGTTGACACGATTTATACATGCAAATTAAAATTTAGGTACATTTATTTGACTGTAAAAGCCTTTTATCTATGGATATCTAGAATATTGTATCTGTGGGCATTTACCTACTAGATAGAGGTGAAAGCTGAAACTCTTGCTTTCTTATAATTCGACCCTTCATAACAATAGTTACTCATTACATTATTATATATACGAAATTAATCTACTCAGTACAAATGATTTATTTATGCAAAAAAGAGTAAAAGTTACCGTTGTGCAAAATAACATACGCATTGAAAATACTCGAGGTCCCAATATTAATATGTATTTAATCGCGATGTTAAGTTTACCTTTAGTCTATAGAAATAATAAAATACCCAGTTGTCAAGCGCTAATCCTGAATTGAGAGCATAGTAACCGAATCTTTAGAGATAATCGAATTAGAGAACGTTCGAGAATCAACAAAAACATTGAATTAAAACCAGCTGTTATTCCATTCCTCGGTATAAAATTCCACCGCCCACGCCGCTTAAGCTCAGCAATAAGGACATAATAAAGATGTCTTCTGTGCTCTTATCTTGATTTTGTATAGGTATTTCTACGGTAGTGTTTTGTTGTGGGTTAATGAGTACTGCCTGATAGCCATAGTTCCATAAAACGTCTAAACTATATAAATCTAAGATGCACTGTTGACCTATATACACTTTGGATTTTAAGTAATTTGCAGACTGAAAAACTCATTTACACTACACACTTAATATCTGTGATTCGTGACCCGGATGGTATTTTGATATTTCTAGCACCTTGTCAAGTTGCCTTGTTGTCAAGGCCCAGATTTTCCAGACGTGTAGCGTATTTGAAAAATTCTTTTATAGGTATATATTTGCGGAACAGGTTGATCAACCCATGTGCGATACATTACTAAAATAAGACCAATGAGTACGACACACTCGGTATCCTGTACAATAAAGGCGTAAGCTCGAAAGGAACCCAGTAAAACTTGTCTTTAAAGCAATGCCAGGCAAAACAGCTCGAAAAGCATCCTTGTTAAAAAAAACAGTTTGGTAAATATTTTGCGTTTAAAACCGTTAAAAGTGCTTTATCTAAATGTGTACTACTCGCATAAACTACAGGCTGCTTAGGAAAGTAGATATCAAAGAGGCTTCCGTGCTACTTTTTGTCCCCTGTTGCTTAATATACCGAAAAGTACTCTACAGCTTTCAACGGATTTCTGTCATTGCTCTATTGTTACATACAAACTAAAATTATTTACGCCGTCGCGTTCTTTTGTTTAATGATGATGAATGATGAGGTCCGTTGACCAACTTCCTACTAAATGTTCTAAATCCATTCATATGTATATTCATAACTATACATTACGCTATAACAATACCTTTGTGATACACATATCTACTTATCTTTGTCTTAAAATGATCCCAAATTTCACTTTGTTACCCAATTGTTTCACTGTGCGGTTTGGTAGACTATAGATTTCAGATAGAAAATGTTATTTTCATTAGTCAGATAAAATACATCATATATATGAATGAAAACTATTGTATACAATATGTATGTATATGTATGTATATACATTGTATTTTTTACATACAGGTATAGTTTATTTAAAAAACAAAAAATTGAGGTTAAACACTGTCTGTAGTTTACGCGAGTACTACATTTAAATAAAACACTTTAACTTTAAAATCGATATATATTAGTTAAACTTATTTGAAAATTATTAAATTAAGGCCTGCCGTTCCGGACACAGCCGTGAACACTCCTATTGGTTTAAACGTAGTGTTTCATTTTAATTAGATAGCTTTAAAAAAAATAGTAAAACTTAAATTGGTTGAGCAAGCCCTACGCATCTTCGCGGGTTCGAGTCCCTTCCGTGTCATGAATTTTGTCCATGGAGCACTTTTCACCACTTTATTTCTTGGTTTATATGAAGTAATATTCATCGTTGCTTCCAGCGCAGGATAAATAATTGCGTCCACGGCACGTAGTTATGGTTTAAAGTTACCTAATTAGCGCGTAACTATCTTCATTACGCGGCTATGACTGCATTGCAGTGTTCACGTGCATTGCGTTGTGACATGTGACGTGTTTATTTTGAGGATAAATGCAGCTCCATCAATAATATTGTCTGCCATATACATTCATTTGACAAGAATAATACTGAATTGAATAGTATGCATCTAAATTAAGTCACTTTTAACGGTTTAAAACGCCAAGTATCGGTAACTTATTTTTCGCCGGTTGTAAAGCATGCGAAACGTCCGCTTCGGGCGGTAGTTAAAATAAATAAAAAGTAGGTTATCTATGTATGTTTCGCGTTTTAAACCGTTAAAAGTATCTATTTCTCTGCACCTGAAAAAAGTATTGTATACTATACTAGATATTTCAATTTCTTGCATCTACTTCTGTAAACCGTGATTTGTCATAGCTTCACTTATTGCAAACTTAGGTAACATTTTCTTATACAGGGAATTCTCTTAATTGCACCTCTTCCTGCTAGCAGTTTGATCGTTAATTAAATGTTAGTCACGGGAGCTGAGGAGGAGAGGACGTCAACTGGTTCCCGTGTTGCGGGATCACGTCTTGATAACTGGCTGCATCAGTAATGCGAACGTGCAGTTAATTGCGACTTATAAAATGACAAGCGCACCAATTCTGATCGCGAGAATCGACTTTGTGGCTATATGTATATAGGTACTACAATAAAGATGTAAACGGCATTATTCTGATCGTTGCAGGCACCGGCACTGCGCTTAAAGACTTTTCGTCATCAGTGAGACCAGTAAGAAGAAGTATTGTCTATACGCGAGTTACATTAAATAAAACACTTTATTCTTTTAGCGCGGCCCTACCGTGACCACGTCGAGTCATAAGTAAATATTAGTTAACTTATACTCGTCGCTTTCCAAACAATGTATGGCTAATATAATTAATAGATAATGGGTAATCAACGGGTCGTGGATTCAATTCTCACCGGGACCAAAGTTTTTCTGACACATGTTGGACTACGTCTGGAGATGTGTAAATGAAATGGGCCGAAAAAGTTGTGAAAGCCTTTAATCAGGTTTTGGTTTCAGTCTGTGCCTTTCTGAATATATAAAGCCAAAATGGATCGACAGCTTAGTTGTTATGTGGCTGGACTATTTTACCTTCCATCATATGAACGCCATGTTTGTTTGTTGTATACCATAAAATCCTTAGTGATTGGACAATTTTTCTCCAATATAGTTTTGAAAGTCAAAGAAACAACAGCTTCCGTTTGTTATTTGAAGACATAACCAATTGCTATTTGTTAGCATTTTCTAATGAAAAAGCGCTCCTGGCATTTTGTCAAGACAGAGCGAATGTGGAACGAACTATTGTAAATTAAAAATAGTTTTTAGATACAAATATCGTGACACGGGCGGGAATCGAATCACTAGCGCACTATATGCAAGCGAAAAGTTATAATTTAAAAGTTACTCTGTAGGAATATTTATGCGTTGAAATGCGAGCCAAAATGATAACTGCTTAATAAAGAATATGGTAAACAATAATACACGTTACTGTAACAGTATACAGATAACCCAATTTAATTATATTTTTGTTGTCCCTGTTTTATTATTGAATTTATAACATAATATTATGTTTGTAGTGTGAACGTAGATAAAATTTCTTTTGAGTCTATCTCAGATTAGATGGGAAAGTTATTTCTTGTTTATATAACGCATTACGTAAATAAACATTTAAAATTTAAAAACAACTTTGTGTTGGACTCGTCGAAACAAAACGAGTTTCTTGCGAAATTATTTTATCTTGTAACAAATAAACGTCTTTTAGGAATTGTAACAATTACATCTCATTGATACATTTAGGTCCTTATACAAAGAGTTTACTGACGTAGATTCTGTCCTTTCTCCTCTCTGTTAGAGGAAAAAGGACAATACATAAGATAACACAGTGTACATAATAACTTATAATTTAGTTCTTCATGTTCGTTATATTAAAGATTCCTTATTTTCCGTAGATACGTGTTACCATTTATTCTTAGGGTTCCGCACGTAATTAAATTTCACAATTTGTATCTAAAATAAAACAGACGGTAAATTTTGTTTCTTTGTCTTACAATGCCGACAAGTAGGCTTAACTTAAAATAAATAAAAAATGTTGCAATATGGGGGTATACATGAACGGCATTACGTAGTCAAACGCTACAGAGACCTGGTGCGTGAATCCGACTCGCACTTGGCCGCTTTTTCATAATGATATAATAAGTCCATATTAGCCCTAAGTACACCACAATGGCTTCTCAACAAGGCTCTTTGTGGCCGCTCGAGGAATTCAGCGTCTGGCCGATAAGAGAGGTCACCGTGTCACTGACTGATAGCAGCATTGTATGTAAATAGAATTAGACTGGGGTGCTGGCCTGTCCAATATTACGTCATTAGTAGCTGAACTAGTTTATCTTTACGCAATGATCCATATAATATATGCTAAATAAAAAAGAAACACAATTTATATT